TAAGGTGATTTTTTAATATCAAACAGATGCCACGACATTTTATGTAAAGAGAAGACCTTTTATAGAATATTTCGTTAGCGTTTATTTACTACGGACGTTTCAGCAAGAGACTACACTAAAATGTTGAAATACAATATTGTTAATAGAGCAAGAAATGGTACTATTTGTCTACGAGTATTATAAAAAAAGCATGTGCGCAGGCGAATACTGCAAATCAAACCTTGTGAGTTGAACATTATATTTTTTCTACGGCTATTACATAATATTAAAAATTATTCAAAATGAGAAAATGCTGTTTTGTATTGTAACCTCAGTTTCTTTCTTTAGGAATATTAATTAATATAGAGGATGAGTCCCATAAAACTCTAGAAATGCATTTGTCTGAAACCAGATAACATTTTAAAATTTAAACCTATTAAAAGTCATTTGGTCGCTAGGGGTGGATGATTATCGAAATAAATTATCGATTATTTTCGATCGATCGAATATTCAAACAATCTATGTTTTGTCGTATTTTCTTTAAAATCGACTACTTGATTATCTTTAAAAAATCAAAAATAATCGATTAAGGAGGTCCTTTCGCCACCAATGTTAAATAAAAAATATTAGATTATGACTAAAATTAATTTTTTTCTAATAGTAGATGTCCTTATTTATCTAATAGTGAACTTTTAACTATACCTTACCGTGCAAATTTTTGAGAATTTTTTTTTTTAAATGTGTTTGTACAGTGTCTTATGAGAAAATAAGACAATTTTCGAATCATAATTAATTTTACTATTATTTACTGATTAGATGGAGTAGAAAAAAACTAAAAATATTTAGGTTTTGTTTTTCACAATAAAATATATAGGTTACCGTGGAATTTATTGAGAAATTATTATTAAAAAATCACAAAAAAATTTCAACTAGGTTACTTGAAAATTTTTTGTGATTTTTTAATATTAATTTCTCAATAAGTTCCACGGTTTACTATATATATTTTATTGAATAAAACAAAATCTAAATATTTCAAAAACCTTATTTTTAGTTTTTTTCTACTCCATCTAATCAATTTTAAGTAGGTCATTCTGTATTTCATCTAATATTCTTATAAAAATAAAATTTAGCTAGCAACTATGCTTCTTTACTTCTTATTTATCTACCAAAAAGGGCTAAAAACCACCTTCAGTAAATATTCTTATAAAACTACTTTTTAAAAACAAAATTTCGTTAGCACCAATGCCTATTTACTTCTTATTTAAATGAAATGTTCAAAATTTTACCCTTTTGTATATTTATGTAATATGAAATCTGTTTTCTGAAATATGTATTTGATGCTTAATATTTATTGAAACCCCTTAATGCGGATCTGAAGTATTCAGCATAAAGGATCATGGCGCTTTATGTCAAAACGTTAATAAATATTTACCGCTGAAAACGAATATATTTTTTTATCTTTCATAACATTGGTACTTGTATTATAAGTATATACAATTTTTCAAGATACATCGTGGCATTTTGAACTTAAAATTGAATAACTAGAACACTTTAAATTGCTAAAATACCAACAAATTAATCAAAAAACAGCTGTCAATGGCGGAGGTGAGCCTTGAATGGAAAAATCGGAGCAATTCGGGTGGCGTCGTGCGAACAATGATTTTCAATTGGTGGGTTACTTGGGGTTAAAATAGACAACATGTGCAGTGTGCAATGTTACATCTTCGGTCTCTTATTATCTAAGCATGGAACATACTGCCTCCATTTAATAAAATATTTTTTTTTAAACAGTTCTCATTCTTGAACTTGCAGGATTCTTCCTCCATATTGGTGACGTTTAATGTAAGTGTATCTCTCTGTAACGTGTGGAGGGTGGGTTACCCCACGGCTCTTAGGCCTCATTAGGCTCATTGTGCATCCTCCTGAGAAGATAGGCACCTCCTAGCTCGTGAGCCAGCCTACAGATTTAATGTAGTTGACAACGTCGCCAAGAGGTGCTTCTCTTATATCGGCCGGTGTTAGCCGATACTCGCCGAACACAAATCTTCTAATAAATACGAGCGTCGAGCAATCGTAAAGGACATGCTCGAGGTCTCATCTTCTTGTTCGCACGCTCTGCAGAGTGCGGATTCTGACAGCCCCATGATATGGAGATGCTTTCGTACTTGGCAATGACCAGTCAGAATGCCTGTGACTAGGCGCAGATTCTGTCTAGTCATAGTCAAGTATTTGTTTGCTGCAGTGTTGTCCCTGGCAACTCTACATTTTCTTGTTTCATCCCATCTTTCCTTGAATTTCACAAAGGAATGTTCTTTGATTAGGTCTGTCACTGCCGATTTAATCAGGCCAATAGAAGGGCCAGGTCCAAAAAGTATTTGGTCGGCTGCTTTCTTGGCTAGTGAATCAGCAAGACGGTTACCTTTCGATGTGGTGTGACCTTTAATCCATCTTAAGTTGACAATGTTGTTGATGGATACTTCCGCCAAAGCTTCGTGATATTCTAGTACTAAGCCTGAATAAATTCGTGGTCTGTTCAGGGTGAGTAGTGCTTGTCTGCTATCTGTATAGATGAGCATGTTCCTTCCAGTGATATTGTTTCTAGTTATTTCTTTTGCTGCTATGAGAATCCCCGTTAGCTCTGTTTGAACTACACTGGCGCTATTGCTCACAGCCCATTTTATGTTTAGGATTAAGAATCTGGAGTATATTCCACATCCTGAGCCTTGTTTTGTTTTAGAACCGTCGATGTAGATATGAATCGTACCTGACACTTCCGGCTCTTCTATTTGTTCTATTATAACTTTATTGGCTTATGAAAGATAAATTTCAGTGAGATGGAGTCCATGTTCGCTTGAAGCAGTGGAAGCGTATCCAGCGCCTACTGCCAAAAGTGACGTCTCGCCTCACCAGATCCTACATCAGGTTCTATTCCGACCATGCGCAGGCATGTCATTGTGAGCAACCTTCTTGATGTAAATATCAAGGGGAGTGAGACTAAGAATGACTTCCATCGCTCTAGTCGGTGTTGTTTTCATGGCTCCTGTTATGTTGAGACATGCTGTTCTTTGAATTTGTTCTAGTTTACGGATAGCTGTTAATTTTTGGGTTTTCGGTACCCAGAAAATTGCACCGTATGTTAGCATAGGTCTTATAATAACCGTGTAAGTCCATGCGACGACTCTGGGGGAGAAGCCCTAGGTGCTCTACACGGTTCGGCGGCATTGTTCATAAGCAATGTATGCTCTTTTAACTGTTTTCTAAATGCTAGTTCCATGTTAACTTGCGGTCAAAGGTGAGACCTAGGTACTTCACCTCTGTTGCAAAGTTTAGTTTTGTGTTTAGGAGTTCTGGAGGCTTTAATTCCATTTTCAACCTTTTCCTTGTGAAAAGGACCATTTCTGTCTTCTTAGAATTGATAGAAAGTGAATGGTCCTTGCACCACTTTTCTATAATTTTTAGAGCTACTTGCATTCTTTCGCAGAGTATGCTCTCAAAATTCGCGGTTTGCAGAATGACCAGGTCATCTGCATATGCTATTGTGTAGTGACTGTCATTATTAAGGCGGCTGATGAGGGTGTCGAGTACCATATTCCACAGTAGAGGTGATAGCACCCCTCCCTGTGGACATCCCCTCGCAACCAAGCCTCTTATATTCCCATCTTCTACAGTTATGTTTACTGCTCGCTTTGAGAGCATGCTATGTATCCACCCACTAACCATTTGTGGAACATTCCTGATGGTTAGTGACTTTATTATCTTTGGGAAGGTGGTTTTATCAAAAGCACCTCGTATGTTCTATTGTCCAGGGATCTTTCTATCCGGCCAGCAACTAGATGAAGGGCTGAATCAGTAGATCTGGGGTGTATGCATGTTGGTTTGGGTGTAATGTTGTTGTAATCACCGCATCCCTTATGTACCTTTCGCATAGCCTTTCCAATGTCTTCATGGAAAACGATGTCAGACTAATTGGTCGGTATGTTTTTGGGACAGTGTAATCCAACCTTTCCAGGTTTGGGTATAAATACCACTTTTACCTCTCTTCATTTTTGGGGGATATACCTCAGAGCCAACGAGGATCTGAATATATTCCAGTAATACAAACTGAACGAACATTTTAAGCTAGCCGCATTTAGCAAACTTTACTTTGTTTATCATTCACTTTTATTAAAAAATAGCAGAGTTCAACCTTGGTCGAAATGGATATCAGGCTATGTTTCAGTCAAATACAATGGGTAAATGATCATTATAATATATGGTATAGATATGTATCAGCGCCGTTTAAAGGGTTAAATTCGACATGTAAACAAAATTATTATTTTAGCTTTGGTTGACATTTAGCTTGGTGCTGGGTTCTACCTTTATTCTCATTACTCCAATCTACACCAAAGCACATGTCAAAGTAGTGAAAAGCTAAAAGAAGCTACAATGAATAGAAAAGGTTAATAAACACAATTTAGTAATGCATCTTTATTCGTTGGGTATATAAAACAATCTACACCAAAGCACGTGCTGAAGTAGCGAAAAGCTAAAAGAAGCTACAATGAATTGAAAAAATTAATAAGCCCAATTTAGTAATGCTATCTTTATTCGTTGGTTATATAAAACGTTAACTTCAATGCATTTAATATCTTCAAAATCCATATTAAAATTTACTGCTAAAATGATATCTAGTAACTTTTCCCTTTGCAAATGCGCCTTTTCAGTTCCTCCTAGTTTAAAAATGAAGTATCGTTATTCTCCAAAAGTGGGCTTTGTTCCTTAAGAACTCATATTTTTTATTTTTATCAGTTACAAGCAGATCGGGATTTCGTTGTATTGTATTTCCTTACTTTGGGCGACAAGAGTGTTACCTATCAATAGTATTTTTGAACAGTTCTACGTGGTCGCTTACCAAGTGTTCCTGTACCGCTCTTTCTACTCTATAACATGACAGTCCAATTTGGACGTCACGTCTCAGTGTTTAAACAGGACACCACATTGTTCATTTGGACACATTAAAATTATTCGCCGTCTCGTTTCAGGCAAGCAAGCAAACAAATTCAAGCGGCTAATGGGCATCAGAGCGCCGTCTGACGGTGCTAACTCGGCCACAGAGGTATTGAAGAAACAAGACGAAATGTTCAGCGCCATGGAACAACAATACGAGGTAGCGCGAACCACGACACACACCATGAGAGGCGTCGGACTAGGTTTCAGTAGTTATAACAGATAAATCGTAATAAGATAAATAATTTGAAATAATCATGTACATCTTGTAATATTTTGTATTTGTTTTCAATGGGATAAAAATTAAGTGAAGATGTATAGGTTGATTTTTTGGAGGGTTTTTGTAGGAAATTTGAAAATATCTTTACTTCTTATATAATTTATCGGATTTTCTTTTGTAAAGTTAGAGAACTAAAATACGATACTACCAAATTGTAGGAAAACACCACTTTGAAATTGTTTGGGTTTAATTTTACTTTCATAATGTATAAATTATTCCTGTGGCGCTACACCCAAACTCACTTATTTAGCCTATCTGTTTACTGCCACTCTTTTTCCTTTAATCTCGCAAGATCAGGAGCATCTTTAAACGCTTCTTCTTTCCAGTATTTTTGAGGGTCTATCTACTTGTTATTACCCTTGCATCCTAGTGTATACAGTTCTTGTTGGAAGCCCTTTTGTCTTCCATTTTGCTAAGAAGTACACCTTTGTAGAATTTGAGGTGATAAACTCTGTTTACCTAATAGAGTTTATTTAAAAAGTTTATATGGTTCATGGTTGTATCCTACCCTCCATATAGTATTTTCCTTAATCCAATAAGCCATGCATGTTTTATTTAGAATTTTTTAATTTTGATTATTTTTTGGAGATAACTATGATTTTTAGGTTTATTATTTGGAAAATTTCTATTTACAATTTTTGAATAGCAAGAAAAAAGCAGGGATTTACATTTTTTTCATTTAATTCGAGTTAAAATTAATATTTTTTCCAACTCAAGATAGCAGATGATTTGAAAGTACATAAAAAAGTTTCCCATTTTTCCCTTCGAGCTATCTGGATGTTTTAAAACTTTTCCAAAATCAACCATTAATTTTTTTTTTATTTGTATAATCTTTCCTACAAAAACGATTTTTTTTTACGGAGCGTCTCGAATAATTAACTGCGAAATTTAGAAACTAATCTAGGTTTAGTACTAAGAATTAAAAACAGAATAAAAAGTTGACATTAATGTATATAAACATTTTGTAAAAAAATAATTGTTAAACTTCTGATAGAAGTTGCGTTTGCAGTATCAAAAAAAAAACAAATATTTTTTAATAAGTGCATTATTTTTCAATAACGAAAATAAAATTGCAACTTCAGACACTTCATTCAAACTCTTAGCATAATGCAAACTAATTCGATCTGCAGATTAAGTTTTGGCTTTTAGAAATACTCAGTTTGAGACACTCTGTATTACTCTACTATGTACTAGTACCTAAGCTGTTTTAATCTACATTTTCATATGTTGTAGCTTGAGATGTTGGATTTTTCCTTTATCATTTACGATTTTGTGATTTATTTAGGGGTAAAATAAAAACTCTTAATTTACATTTGTTTTTTTATTTATGGTCAAATATAACTCGAAATAAAAACTAATTCTACATTTTATTTCAAAATATCTTCATTCTATTAAAGATAATAATTATAAATTAATGTATTTACATGGTTAATTTATTTACATTGTTCTAATAAGTGGCTAAGAAAATGTAGGTATTTAAAAGTAGACCAATGTGTATGTTTCGCTGTTGATTTTAAAGATCTTATTGTAGGTAAGTTTGGCTGGCAAAATGTCATTTCAAATTATGCCAAAATGAATTCATATTATTTGATTTCTAAAAAAAGAAACAGTATATTGTTTTAATCAACATTTATATCCTTACAACCTTTGATAACCTGTCTTTTAAAAATGTATACTTAAAAAGACTGGATCAAATGGACTCTGGAGGTGATGCTGACCCACTGTCTGGTTTACTTTCTAAAGAAAATGGCGGTATCCTACAGTCAAAGGTGTATCCATCTTCACGTTCCATTCTAAAGGTACCCCTAAAAGAAAACCAGGACTTACATATAATTCGTATGAAAAGTAATTTTTGGACTAATCCGACGGACATGTCCGGAAAAGTAATGAAAAGTCACAATGAAAAGTAGTCGATCTTGATCCTTGGATATTTTTTCAAAAACACTTTGGGAACAATATGTGCATTTTTATTGTCGTTTTTTTTTTTGGCAAATCATTTGTAAAATACTTCCAACCTTTGGATCTTTTGGTAATTTTTACAAGATATGAAACGAAAATTCGAAAACATCGTTAAAACATTATGAAAGTCAGTAAACATTTGTCGTTTCTATTTTGCCTTTATTTGTAAGAAATTCAACCGAATGAGTTAATTTAATTTTGCGCATGCGCAATACACTTTCGAAAGGCTGTCGTAACAAAATTGATTTTTATAGCCATGACCACAGTTTAAGCAATTATCATTTAAAAAGAAATGGCTAAAATTGATCAGGGTTACAAGTAAAAGTCTGAGGTTCGCTAGTGTATTTACGGCAACAGTGTTGCCAATGGCAAGGACTTTACCAGACTTTCTGGTATTCTCACCGAACTTATGAAACTTATAGTTTATTTATCAAAGATTATTGTATTTTCCATTTACTTTGTTACGCATGTTTTTGATATCTCAATTTATTTCAACTTAACTTTTACAATAACTACACAACTGATATTAACGTATAACGTCTATCATAAAACTGATCTCAGATTTCAGGTCTTCGACTTATATAGCTACCCTCAACCTTCTAGAACCTTCTCGAACAATCTGGATTTTTCTTTGACAAGGAATTACATTTAAAGACATTTCTGGACTATTCTATTGTCTACATTTACTTGTACCTTTACTTATGACGACTACAGCACGCTGAAGGGTGCTGCGTAACAATATTTTCATTACTTCGTTAGTCACTATTGCATTTTATAGGGTATTCTGTATTTTTTAGGGAGGTTAAACCATTTGAACCTGGCAACACTAGAACACTATATAGCATAAAAAGAGCTGCTCATTTTTTAAATTTCAGAAGTTCAGTCCTGTTAATCAGTGTATTTTTGATTGAAAAATACAACTGGAGTCTAATGTTGAACAATTATACTAATTTATCAAGTTTATAAAAATTATAAATCAACCTGAACCTTGCTATTTCTTTTTGGAGAGAGAAATACTTTATAGTTACAATGTGGCCATGACAAAACAATACTTTAGTGAAATGTGTAAATATTTTTTAAATTACTACAGAAAGAACTTTCGCATCTGCAGGGTTATTCTACTAAATTTATAGCCCGGCTACAAGTTGGATTTTGAAGTTAGGAACATATAAAGTTCAAGCCAAAATCCAACTTGTAGCCGGGCTATAAATTTAGTAGAATAACCCTGCTGGTCCTTATTGAGCAGATTTTTTGAAATTGTTCAATGTATAAGCTTACCACATGTGGCCACTAGGAGCCTGCAAGCTGACATGGCTGCTATACTGGAAAGCAGGTAAGGCTCTCGTTAATGCTGGTTCCTGCCCAACAACACCCCTTCCTCTAACTGTTTCCAATGTACCAGACAATGAAAATATTCTCCAATGTCGCTCCCTTAACTGAACACTGAGGGATCCCAAATTTTCTAATCTGATGCAGTATCTCCACTAGAAAATAAAACAGAATTAATATGGTTTCAATTTGTAGTATTAAAATTGTTCTTAAAAGGAGATTTCTACTTACCCAATATACAGAAGTGGCGTGAGACTCTCTACATCCCATGTAGAATGGTATGACTGTGACTCTAATGTTTTCTGTTGTTTCTTTATGGACATCTGAGAGTTCTAACCATGGATGGTTTTTGTTCTGCCATGCTTTCAACGTTTCTTGAGCCATAAATGGTGGCTCTATAAAATGAATAAATAAATAATATTGTGAGAAGCAATGCATGGTCAATGAAATGTTATTCTTTTCTGTTTTGATATATAATAAATAGTATTGTGAAAATTCTGATTAAATGATCTTATTTTCATATTGAACAAACACCATTGTATTTTTATTGATTTAATAAAAATAATTATTTATAAAGCAGATAATTCCTAAAAGATAAGTTATGCAGACTATTTTATTTGACTAATCCATGTAGATTAAATACAATTAAATTATTAACTACTACAATAGTAGGACATATTATTTGTTTTAACCAGTACCATTCATTTAATTAAAAAAACGAATCCTTTCTAAATCAAACTATTTTGACTCATAATTTGTTTTCGAGATACAGGGTGTTACAAGTGAAGTCCTGATAGAACATTTTTGTAAATATTTTCTAAAATTTCTTTAGTCACCGGTTTTGAAAAGTTAAAAAAAAAAATTAAATTTTTGATTTCACAGGCCTACTAATTATTGTTTAGACTTTCGAATATGATAACATCAACTTATCCTGAAATTTTCAAATGCTTTTCTCTTGAAAATGGTGCGCCCTAGCGAGATGCAACAAAAGTAGCTTTATTATAAAGAAAACATTGGTTTTCCAAATTTTATAGTCAAAAATGTTAAAAACTGCCAACAAAAAATACTTAGGGCAATTTTACCCTAAGCCCCCCTAATTTACTTATCTATGAAGTTGATCAAAAACTGACGTCTAGTCCATTAAATAGAACGTAAAAAGGTAAGCATTTGTAGCAAATTTCGCTTAATCTTTAAAAGTTTAGAAAATATTTATAAAAGTGTGTCATCAGGACTTCACTTATAACATTCTGTATCTCGGAAAAGTTACGTTTTAGGACCTATATTTATATGAACTTTTACTCCTATTTTAGGATGTAGATTACGCTGTTAAAATATAACCATCTAATTTTGGGATATATGGATATGTTATAATTTCAATACAATCCATCCGGCAACCTCACCAATATATAAATGGTGTGCTATAGAAATTTGTGACTTCCTCATACTAATTTTAAGAGTTTGTTTTGGTTCAAACAGAACCAGTGATTGCAGTTCTCAAATACAGTGGACGAATTAATTTTTCAAGAACATGTCATGAGGTTATAACAACCTCTTAGCTGATCGAACGTTATTTTGTTACGTGTTGCGATTAAAATGTTGACAAGTTGTAATCATTTTACACAACTATGCTTCGAATGCTTTAAAAATATGTTTATTTAAAAAATCTATAGCTTTTTACCAACACGGTCAAAAAATTCAGCGTTTTTTTAGAAAATTTTATAACTTCTTGATTTACATTACATTAGTTTTTAAAAAATATGGTAAGAACTGTTTTCGAGATATCTTGAAATAAATGCATTGCTTGTGTACATGACAGGCTTCAAGAGTGTTAATTATGCACATTTTGATTGTTAATATTTCGTTTCACAGACAGTCAAAAAATTAATTTTTTTAAGGGCCACTAGATCAATCGGCTGTTAAAGTGGCTGGTAACGAAAACCTCTTGGTAATTAACAAAATCGTTAGATCAATGTATTGGCATCGTGTACCTGGCGGATATAACTACATAACAGAGGGTTAAACTACCAGCTGCTTTTTTTTGTCTGGTAAACAGTTAACAACGAGTTTCTAACCTTAATTTTGATTGATTTGTTCAAACAAGAAAATAATGTAGTCAGGATGGTATGGATAGTAATATAATTTCAGACAGTGAAAATGATAATGAGGTAGAGGATTACTATCAAGTAGGCAGTTTTAAGACCTACACTGTCAGAAATCAACCTGATCATTATGTGCTGTTGGGATAATAATGAATTTAAATCAGATTTCCTTTAAGTAAAGATGCCGTTAATGAGTTAATATAGAACTGTTGGTGGTAATATTCGTTTCCCTATGAATATAGATTTTTACTATTTTAGCAAAAATACTTAACTATTAAGTAACTGCTTGAGTCCTCTTCAGCAACTGCATGCTTACAACATTGTATTATGCTATTGGCAATATGTCAATAGCTGTAGGAGATTTTGGGAGTACATGCAACTATAACAGTTACAATAGGATATGATTTCAAAATTGACAATCGTTTTTTTTTAACACAAAAGTAACTTGTAGTTTATCAAACACATAAAATTTAAAATGATCTATGAACATCTTTATAACAGTAACTTTACCAGCAAGAGTAAAATTTAACTTCTTGGTACTTTATTTGTACACAAACAGGCGATTGATCTAGTGGCCCTTAGTTACTTAAACGACACTTTCATTAACCATATATTTCAATTTTATTGAATTCTTAAGAAAAGCTGTTTTATGAGTGAACTATCTTAAGTTGACATCTATTTCCATATATAAATTGAGAGGCACAATATAAAAGATACATACATTTGTAGTGTATTATTTATTATGCCAAACATACCTCCTTTAGGATTAGCAGACAGGAACTTGTCAAATAATTCATGATTTAATGGACTCTTTTCAGCACTAATATAGGGAATAATGTCTTCATGGGCTACATAGTCTAGGCCTGGAATAGCATACAAACTTCTAGACGAGTCCTGATTTCCCAAAAATGTAACGGCCTCTGTTTGAGCTCTCTGTAAACAATAAAGAATCTATTAAATAACTATAACTCATTAATTTCTTTGATTTTAAAGCTTCAAAGAAATTATAATAAAACATTCTTACAATGTATGGGCAATCTCTTTGGTCTATCAAAACTTGATAAAATGTATGAGTTCGTCCTCGAACTTCTTTCCCCACACCTGGTGAGGGTTCTTCATCTCCTTCCCTGCGGTTTGGTAAATCCCTATCATAAACTCTAGCTAGCCAGGGAAATAGAACGACCCCTCTATAACCGAACACTCTATGTAAAATAAGTTGACCCGTTTCATATTTTCCTGACGATTTGGGAGTTTCTAATCTTCCAACTTCAGCTAGTCTAAAAAAAAGATCGCATATAACCTCATTTTACATAAGTTGCTAAAAATAATGGAATTGAATTAGGTACCTTGCATAATTTCTATGAGCTAGAAATATTCTTGATGCAGCAGATAAAAAATTGTAACGAATTGATATCGAAACTATGTCCATTTTACATTTTCAATGCGCAAAACGATTGATGTTATTTATACAAAGTGTTAAAGTACTTTATAATTTTGATGCATTTGGAAACATGCAAGATGGATGTGAAGTTTCTGATATTTATTTATTTGTTTTGAAGATTGACCGTGATAAAAAAACTTAAATTTAATATATCTGCCAAATGTTTAAAATTTTTTATGGGATTTATGACATTTTTCATTGACACTAAAGATTGTGGGCGTCTCATAATTTCAAAATTAATTTATCAGTAAATCAACATCTAATAACGTCATCGTCAGTGAAAAACTGCTGACAAGGTAACTGACATTTAGATATGGCAACCCTGTGAACCTGTTGTCATTGACAGGGTCAATGATACATACATAGTTGTATAGATTGCTCAGAGCGGGTCGTTTACGAGTGGACATATTGCCTCGCAAGTGCTCATTAATCAGAATCGATTTTGCAAAAATGTGTTTACAAACCAATACTTAGCCTTTGAATATAGTAAAAAAATAATTTCCTACATTTTTACTTCAAGGCAGAAGCTTGTTTATTTTGAAAAATATGGATGATCAATCTATGCATTTTTCTATTTCATTGACCTTGTCAAATAACCAGGCCTACAGGGTTGCCGTAATTTTGCCATATATCAATGGGAATTCCTAATAATAGTTAAATTACTACTTCAAGAGCTATATCAAGCTAGCGGGCACTCTGTGGCGGCACCATTCAAGACCTGGCGGGTTATTTGTAGCTTTTTTGTTACACTATTTGCAAATTTGTAGCTTAGCCCAGGTCCGAAAAAACAGCGGATCCGCTAGTTTGAATTTCCTAGTAGCGGCACAGATTCAGACCCAGCTGGTTTTTCGTAACTTTATTGTAGCTTTTTTGTTACGCTAGTCTCCCTTTTGTAGCTTGTACTGAACCTGAGAAAAGCGCGGATCCGCTAGCTTAGCGGATATTTGTGGCGGCACCAGCCCGGACCCGGCTCATTTTTTGTAGCTTTTTTTGTTACGCCTGTCTCGATTTCGTTGCGAGGCCTGAACGTGAGTAATAATCGTTTCTCCATGAGCGTGAAGCCCCAGTATAAAGAACAATACAGTAGCGACAGATTGCCACAATATATCCCCTATAGTAATGTAACTGGGATTCAAGAAATGGCTTTGAGTTACGCTGCGGCCAGACACAGGTCTCATGGCGCTAGTATCGTTATTGATTTTTGACTTCGGCACGTTCATTGGTTGACGACGAATTCAAAACAATCTGATCGGAGCGTTACTCACTCCCACTCTTTCTCTTTGTTTAGATACTTATAAAAGAAAGAGATACCACTTAATAATTTCTATTTCGAATCATCTTTCATTCTTTAGCGTTGAGTTTTTATAAGTGAAGCGTGAAGTGTCAGTGTTGACAAGTGATAATTTTTTGATTTTTTCTTCTACGAAATTTAATATTAATTTTGTTTCAGCGATATTTATTGTGATTTGTGTTGTTGTATTAAGTGCTTTCTTATTTAATATGGGAAACAAAACGTACAACAAACTCAGAAAAAGAGGAATCGAGGAGGGATTGCTATCTATGGCTGTCATCCAAGGGTCTGCGCCCTAGATAATACTTTTCCAGTGGGAAAAGCCTTTAAAATTCAAGTATAACAATTTTATGTTTCCGTTTTCCCTTCTTTTAATGTAGGTGCCAATTTTGAGGTAAGTTTGTAATAATTTTTCAGTTAATACCTACCCTCTTAATATTATAATTTAACTATGATCTTATGCTTTCCTATGGACACGATTCAAGGAGGGAGTCCTATGGCTGTCATCCAAGCCCTAGATAATAGTTTTCCAGTGGCAACAGCCTTTAAAATTCAAGTATAATAATTTACTTTTTTCGAAGTAGATGTCCATTTAAACTAAAATTTTTTTATTTCACTTATTGATTTTAGCATTTATATACAGTATCGGCTAATGAACACTTTCCAATACGCTTGGCTAGAATCGAAAATAAAACTAAAGAGTTAGCGCATTAGTTCAATCAGGAAACGAATAATATGAATGTTCCCTTGTGTGCTGTGTAATATGAACAGGCACACGGTGTGATGCATCCCCACGTAGCCGGCTGGCTACGTTCATAGTATTCTATTCCTTCTCCCACTAATGCTAACTCTTTGTAGTTTTTACTTGGACATTAGCAAAACGTATTGTACAACATTCGATAGCTGCCACTCTATTATCACAAACATCTCTTAATAACTAAATGATTTCATTTAATAGTTTCTTTTTTTTTTTTCAGTAAAATGGATATGGCTAGAGTTATCTTCGTCTTTAAAATATATTAAATAAGTTTTATAATTTTTCAAATAAAATACTTTATACAATTTTTTGTTTTTTTACCAGAGCCAATTTTTTTCAGATCTAACCTCTATAGGTAAAAAATAAGTGATTTAGGTAAAATTGAAAAGTATATTACATGTTCTTTTAAATGTGTTGTTAATCCAAATGCTGCTCTTATTGTAATAGCTAATAATAAAAGAATTAGTATTATTTTTAGCTATCAAAATAAAAATAGCGCCTGGATTTACAGCTCGTTTAATCGAACATGCAATATACTTCTCAATAGTTATTGCCGAATGAATATATTTAAAAATTCCCGCCATTCCGCGGCTGAAAATTTACAATTTTGGCGGGAAATTTAAATTTCGCCTTTAAATTATATTTGAATTTACCGCCATATCGAGTTAGTTGAGCGGCCAGACACAGACGCATTCTTGCGCTGCAAACTTAGTGCCAACTCTTTAACAAGTGAGATGCACTACTATAGGGGATATTTTGTGCAGATTGCGTCGGCTTCTTTGATGTCGGGGTGGTCAGATTTTCAATGACAGTTGACGTTTTTGTCGCTTATTTCTACACGGAGAAAAGTAAACTGTAAAATTGCAAATTAGCGATGTACACTTAGAAAAAAATTAAAACATGTACATATAACATTTTAATGTATTCTAGGCAAATAAATTAATCAAAATATTGTGTAACTTAAATAAATGAGTTCCGGTGAAAATCTAGATGTGCCAATTTTAAAATTTTATCATTAGATTAAAATAAATTACTTTTGTATGCCATTCATTGTATGAAATGTGTTAAACATTTTTTGGTTTCTTCCTGGAACTAATAAATTAACTCTGCACCTTATTTTTTTATTTAAAATGAGGTTATGTAGGTATCTTTTTAGAAGTGAAACAACATATAACAATAATATTTATTAAAACACACAATTACAAATTAGTAAGTTTTTAATGAATTTACAATACAAGAATTATTTTATTTCAATTTTTGTTCCTACGTACAAATTTTTGACTTCAGATGAGTTTTGCAAATGCCTGTTGTAAGTCACCCGTTAAGCACAATGCTGCCCAATTGCTTATATTACCTATGTATATAATTAAATACTATTAACGTCACATCATAAAAATTAGATGTTTATATTTAACGATTTTATGGTTTAAAATTTGTATGGGAAAGGTTATCTGCTGCGGGATTTAAATATTTAATGGCTAGAAGAATCAACAGTGACTGTCTAGAAAAATTTGTTGGGTCCATTAGGCAACAGGGTGGGAATTTAATTAATCCAACACCTGTACAATTCGAAAGGGCATTTAAAAAACTTTTTTGTCAAAATTATCTTCATTGCAATTCCATGAATTGTAATGAAGACCTGGACAAACACTTGCTACAATTAGATGTAAAAAATATTGTCTCTCTGTATCCTGAAATAAATAAAAACACTCGAGAAGCTGTGTTTCTTCCTAATTACAGCTACAGGACAGAAGATATAATAGTTCAAAATCCATTTAAATATGTTTGTGGCTATTTGATCAAAAAAGCTTTAGGCATACATGGATGTAATACATTTATTACATTTTCAAAAGAATGTGAAGATTTGGATAGTTCACAGATTTTAACATATGATTGCAAATAAAGCACTTATGGAGGCCTAAAAACTCCAAATGAAAAGTTTATTATCTATATATTTAAATTATAAAAAAATGTTATATCTATTTTTAGCAATACCTGTGTAATGTCTGGTATATCGCATAGCTTTTTTTGATATTATGAAAGAAATAGAATTTAATCATCCTTGTCCTAATTTCCCTAACGTATATATCATACAACTGTTTATAAGATTATATATATATTATTGTTTAAGTGCTTAAATATTGTATAAATAGTTAAATAAATATAAACAGTTAAAATAATAACACCACAAAATACATTTTTTTTGTTTTCTTTTTGCTACTTTACAAGAAATACATATATATTTTGATTAGATGTAGTCAATCAGAACATTTTTAATCAATGGACATAGTGAATCAAAGAACATCTAATTCATTATAATAATTTGGAGGTAGGATTTTTGATTAAGAATGTCCAAAGGTTGCACATGGTACGCTTTCAAAAATGTCTCGTTCATGTTCAATGATAGTCTCAACAGAGGAAGCACTTGGTCGATGTATTAGGGAGAAGATAGACATTTGGCTGATGACCTAGATGGATAAAAAATGTGGGAACAGCAGTAGGCAATAAACGTTTACGGTTCAACGTTTTAGAAAAACAATTCTTCTCAAAATGTTTCTCACACAACCTGTAATTCCGGTGAAGACTGTTCACATCTATGTTACTCAAATCTTCCCTATTACAAGCTCTTAACCACATGTTGGCCCTAAAATATAAAAAAGTTGATAACAAATGTTTAGATTGACGGTAGTTCAGAAATTATATATTTTTTACATTATTTTTGTTGAAATTGTAAAAATTGTCCTCCAGACATTTAAATAATAAATATTTGGTTTTCAAATATAAAAATTGAAAGTATTTTCTTAAGACATACCTTTCTGGCTCCATGGGAAATGCAAAATAACTTGTCCCTTTGTCTGTTTACTCTGTTTGAGATGGACAAGGGCGATAGACACATCTCTTTCTTTTCTGATCAGGTGCAGAAGCCATTTCAAAAATATCACACAATAAATGAAAAACTAAAATAATAAAAATGTCTCAAAATATGCACTGCAAACAAACAAAAATAATGACATATTTACATTATTTACATTTACATCGCATTGACACTATTGACGTTGACGTTTTTGTCGCTTATTTTCGGACATGCGCAGAAAAATATGGACCCCTCATAAAAAATGATCTGTCGCTACTGTATTAGGCATTCCAAACAAATGAATTACCAGTGGGCAGGTTTGGTATATCTAAGGGTGGCGACATATGGTGTATTCTATCTACTTTACGTAAAATCATGAATA